CATCCAGATGTGTAATTATTCAAGCAAAGCTGGTCCAGATAAGCCAGACCAATTACACCAGGCATGCTGGCACACAGGCTGTAATCCCAGTACTCGGTAGGTTGAGGCAGGAGAATGTTGAGGTCATGACCAGCTTGAGCTACAAAGGAAGCTCAAAGAGCCTGAGCTGCACTGTGAGACCCATTTCCACTTCAGGCTTTCCCAAGAACCTGTATACCTATGGCTGGTGGCTTCATGCTTACGACCTTAAATTCTCATCCTTTTTTGCCACATAACTGGCCATCAAACACTAAATTCCACTTGTGTAATTCACCATTCATATACTGAGATCCTCAGGTTCACCACCGAAGAAACAAAAAAAAAAAGAATAAGCTCAGTAAAATTATAACCATCTAGCGGAAGCCAGGTCACACCGGTGAAAGCCCAAAAATTCTTAAGAGAATTTACATTTTAATAACTATAAAATATCCTATTTTCCTTAATGACTTACAATGTCATGATAAATAAGAATGACAATTCAGTGACAACCAAGAATCTGCTAAGTATGAATCCCTCTAAAATTGTGACCTGGCCAGGCATGGTGGTGGTGCACACCTGTAATCCCAGCACTTGGGAGGCTGAAACCTGGAGGATCACTATAGTGAGACCCTGTACTAAATACAGAAAAATAAAAGACAAATAAATAAACAAACTGTGACCTTTCTATATCCTGGTTTCTTCCATTTCGCTGTTTTGGTTTGGTTTTTTTACTTTTGTTTTGAGAAAGGGGCTATGTAGTTCAGGCTGGCCTTCAACTTGCAGCAGTCCTCCTGACTCAGCCTCCTGAAAGCTTTCCTCTCTTACATCCTGAAATGAAGATACCAACTCTCATTTTGTACAATTATGCAAGTGTCTCTCTATAGCAGCCTCTTATTCCCTGCTGCCTCTTCGAAACAGGTCAAGTTGCCAGGTGCAGGGCCATGCACATACAGCCCCAGCTCCTGAGAAGACTGGGGATAACTGGAGCAAAGGAGCTTGGAGACCAGCCTGGGAACAAAGTGAACCCCTCCACCACAAAACAGAAACTAGTGAAAACAATACTACGGGAAGTGGTGAGAGAAAGGCCAATCCGACAAGCGCAGAAGGGCTTTCCTGGCATGCTCTTTTCACAACGCTGCGAGTGGATTGAAGGCTTGAGCACCCTGAGGAAGCTCCCACTGAGTGCCACTGAGTCCCACCTCCAGGCCAGATGTGCAAGGTGCAGCCCCTGGCGTTCATGCCCACAATACTGGTACTTGGAAACCTTTTTCTTTTTTTTTGGTGGAACCAGGGATTAAACTCAGGCCCTTGAGCTTGCCAGGGAAGTGCTTATTCTACTGAGCCATCTCCCTAGCCCCTTGGAAACCTTTCATGTGCTTGGTTTTGGTTTTCTTGAAAACTGGGCTCTAGATTAACCAGGTATCTAAATATCTACAGAAGTTTAAACATATATGAGGCAAGGGCAGGGGAGCCTTAATAGAGTTGGGAAACTTCAGCTAAACCATATAGGAATAGGCTCAAGAGATCTGTCACAGAAGATGGTGACTACAGTTAACATTATGTTACATTTTGAAAACTGAGAAGAGTAAGTATTCTCAGCCCGCAAAGCAAGCACCTAGGGCTAAGGATGTACCTGTGGCGAACACAAGCTAAGCGTGTACAATGCCCTGGGCTTATCACCAGCAACCAAACAATGAAGAAAGGCAGCTTGGCCTGGTTGCACACGAGAGGCTGAGGCAAGACAGAGCAAGTTCAAGCCCGGCCTGGGCAACATCACAACTACTTACATTTCCTTCAAATGCCGTATTTCTTGAACAGTTTGAAAAGCAAGTTCTCTTAGCTTTTCTGGTGCAAAGCTATTAGTTATTGCTTTCTGAAATATTTCATGAAGAATCGTACCAATCAGCATCTGGCGTGTGGCTAGATCGGAGCCCTATGAAAACAAATCACATCAAAACATTTTATTTCACAACATATACACACATCATAATATACTGTATGACCACAATACAGTCAATGTGTACATGTAAGATACATGTCAAAACATTGGGGCCGGAGAGATGGCTTAGTGGAATAAGCGCTTCCCTGGCAAGCACAAGGGCCTAAGTTCCATCCCTGGTTCCACAAGAAAAAATTAATGTATTTCTGGTAGGTGGAAATATAGGTGAATTTCACTTTCTTCCACTCAGAATTATGAACTTTTGTACAAATTTGGCAGGTTTTTTTTTTTTTTTTTTTTTTTTGTACCAGGAATTAAACTCAGGACCTTCTGCCTGCCAGGCAGGTGCTGTGCCATTGAATTATATTCCCAGCCCTGAGTTATTTTTCAAATCAGTGCATTTCCATTCTGAACAGATTTTTTTAGAAAATGAAACCTTTAACATGTTTTCATTTTTTTTTTTTTTTTGGGGGTGCTAAAGACTGAATCAGGGCCTTGTATACACTGGGCAAGCACTCTACCACTGAGCCACCTCTTCAATCCTTTCCAAAGCAATTTTGACAAAGGATCTTGAGAAGCTCATCAGGCTAGCTTCAAACTTATTATCTTCCTGCTTCAGCCTCCTAAGTAGCTGGGATTTTAGGACTGTGCCAAAACACCCAGCTCAAAATTTTTTTTTGTTTGTTTTTTTGGCAGAACTGGGGATTGAACTCAGTCCCTTGCACTTGCCAGGGAAGTGCTTATTCTACTGAGCCATCTACTTAGCCCTGTTTCATGTTTTTTTAAAGAAAATTTTTAATCTCACTGAGCTACCTCTCAAACCATTTTTATTTTTTATTTTTAGACAATTGCTGGCTCAAGTCCAGCCTAGATTCTATTAGGTATTTTTCTATTACTCTTCCTACAGCTAGCGTTCTAGTTTCCTACATACCTATGGTTTAACTGCATACTTTCTAAAAATTGAGGGGACAGGAAAATTTTAACAAATTCTTTAGGCTCTTTAACAATCGTCAGAGAAATGGTGGAAGGGCCAACAGAGATTGAAAAAAAAACTTCAGAGACATGTCAACCAAACATACTATTAAGGACCTTGTTTGAATATGAATTACAGGCCTGGGAGAGAGCTCAGCAGAATAAGTGCCTGCCTGGCAAACACAAGGTCATGAGTGTGCTCCCTGGTAAGAAAAAAAAAAAAAAAAAAAAAAAAACAACCCTGAATATGGGAATAGGGTAGAGCTTCTGTCTTGCACAAGGCCCTGGGTTCCATCCCACAACCACACAAACAAAAAGCTGGGTATGGCGGCGCAAGCCTGTAATCCTAATACTCAGGAAGCTGAGCAGGAAGTGCAACACTAGTTTGAGGACAGACCCAGTTACATAGCGAGTTCAAGGCCAGCTTGAACCACATACTGAGACCTTATCTCAAAAGGAAAACAAAGTTAAAACACAAAACTAAAAAAATAATTTTATTTCTAGTTTACTGAGAATCACATGAAGCCAAGTTTGGAAATGCCTAGGTGTGCCAAAATCTTTTTGTTGTCCCACCCCTAGGGCACTGCTGAGATAGCAATTGAGACTGGGTGTGGTGACAGGTGCCTGTTATCCCAGCACTTGGGAAGCTAAAAACAGGAGAATCATTAAAAGTTGGACCCGTGCAATGAGACCCTGTAGACCCCGCAAAAAAAAAAAAAAAAAAAAAAATTTAAATTACTGTGGGATTAAACCCAGGCCCTTTACATTGAGCTAAGACCCCAACCCTATTCCTTTTTTTTTTTTTTTTTAATGTATTTAGTACAGGGTACAGAGTCTCACTACACAGATTGGACTCTAGTGATCCTTCTGTTTTCAGCCTCCCAAGTGCTGGGATTACCCAACCCTATTTCTGAGACAAGTTCTTGCTAAATTGCCCAGGCTTGGCTTAGATTTTTAATTCTCCTGCCTCAGCTTCTCAGAGTGCTTGCTGGGTTTATAGATGTGTACCATCACAGTTGGCTTCAACTCTTATTTTTGTCATTTAGGGGCTGGGAATACAGCTCAATAATAGTGTTGGCATAACACTCAAGACTTTGGGTTTGATTCGCAGAACCAAATAAGGAGGGGGCTCTATAAGCTATGATGCTGTATAAACAGTTGTTACAATTTTTACCCTAAAAGTTTCACTCAGGACAGCTCTTCTCATACAGCGAATACTACTGGCTATGCTTGTACCAGAAATCAGCATGTCTGGATATAGGATCAAAAACCCAGAATCTTTATCTATTATCCAAGTATCATATGAGCAGTCTCCTTCCAAATGAATGATGTCCCCTGGTTGTACTGGTACAGAACACCTGAAAATACAACAAAGTTAAAACAGAAATGCATAGTTTAGATTCTCACATTTAAACTTATTAGGCCAGCGGCCAACTAGCTCAGCAGATTAAATCTCCTGCAAGCAGGCACAGGGGCTAGGGGTTTGATCCCTGGCCTGCCATGCCGGCCCTGCCCCAGGGGCAAGACCCATGAAACGGGGCGTGGTGGCTCATGCCTGTAATTCCAGCATCTGGGAGGCTGTAAACAGGAGGATCACTCTGAGTCCAATCTAGTAGTAAGACCCTGAACACCCTGTAGACCCTTCACTAAAATACAGAAAAGGATAAAAATTAAATAAATAAACTTGGGGCTGGGGAGATGGCTCAGTGGAATAAGTGCTTCCTTGGCAAGCACAAGGGTCTGAGTTCAATCCCCAGTTCCACAAAAAAAAAAAAAAAAAAAAAAAAAAAAAAAAAAAAAAAAAAAAAAAACAACCAAATAAATAAATAAATAAACTTATTGGGCCAGGCGTGGTAGTGGCGCACACCTGTAATCGCAGCACTCAGGAGGCAGAGTCAGGAGCATCCTTAGGATTTTAAGACCAGCCTGGGCTGCAAAGTGGCTTATGGCCAGCCTAAACTGTAGTGAAACCCTGTCTCAAAAAAACAAATATATAGATAGATATTAAAATAAACTTATCAATGAAGCTTAAAAAAATAACCAATTATCTTATCTGGAGAAAAAATAAGTATTTCTCAAAAGGTATGGCGGCACATCTACAGCTTCCCCAAGTCTTGAGACATGAAATGAAGTCCACGGTAGGAAA